TCGGTTCGGTTCGTAATGCCCCTTTGTCCGGTTCTCGTCGATCGATGTTGATAGGGTTAATAAATGTTGAAGTTGTAGAGTAAAAGTGATGGTTTATTGACAGCAACTCGTAATTACACAATATGGTGTTCGTTCGTTAACTACTCAATATTGACTGTGTTCATTTGAACTCAAATCCCCAATTTATAATCTCACACATAATAGATACATAAGCAGCTTAGGTCATTGCTTCGTTCATTCACACCACCTAACTTTTGCTTATAATACAATTTAATCTACGCCTTAATTGCGACACTTACGAAGTTCAATTAGAAAATATTATTATTCGGCAATTTATTTAGTTGTAGGTAAATGAACTAATATTAAATTATCATACGATATGGTTTTGCAATATATATAATGCAAACTTATACACGGTGAAACTATAAAAGATTAAGAAGTTAAGAATAATGTGAGATTACAAATTAAGGGGTTAATTTGTGACTGAACATATATATATATATATATATATATATATATATATATATATATATATATATATATATATATATATATCATCATCATCATCACTGGCTCGACAACCCTTTTTGGGTCTTGGCCTGTTCAAGGATTCTTCTCCATTCTGACCTGTTTCGTGCTTTTATATATATATATATATATATATATATATATATATATATATATATATATATATAAATGATATTCAAAGTCTTAGTGCGCCTAGCAATTAATTAGCTAATTAATTAATTATTTAAATTATTTAAATGATATGGTTATGATTCTATCACACTTTTTAATTCTCTTATCTCAGGGTTATATTCGTGCTTCAATATCTATGCTTTACATTTGAAAGGTAAGGTCCAAAGAATACCGGAATAATAAAAAACATATGATATAACATTATATATTGAAATAAAAATAATGAAATAAAATTCACACTCAAATGTTTTCAATAAACAATATCTCATATAATGATTCTTAAAATTTTGTTCTACGTACGTGAACCTTCAAAATTAATGGTACAAACAATATTAGTTAAAATCTCAAAATCCCAATTATTATTCTAAATCTCCTAATCAAAATATTTATATCTTTTCTAAAGTAATTGTAAAAATTGTGTTATCAATAAAAGAAAAACTGCAGAAAAACAAAACTCTCTCTCTCTCTGATGATGAGTGGTCCAAATCCTTGTTCCGTTTAGCCTATACTATCTATTCTTAGCAGCTCCCTAGGTAATCAGCAACCTTACAACAAATTGTTGCAAGTTTATCGTCCTTAATGATCTCCTTCAAATGCACGAATCGTTCAAATTATGCTAGCCTCTTCTCCTCTCGATAAACTGAATCTCTCGTTGGCCTGAGTGAAAAATGACTCTTGGAATATCTTCTCTTTACGATAAACTGAATCTCTCGTTGGCCTGAACAGTGACTCTTGAAATATAAGTAGAAAAATATGACTTACAATCTTTTACAGGATCAGCTTCTGTCAGATACACTAACTACACGAAAACTCACAAACTTTCACTGCTACTGCTTCCTACCTCTGGGAAACTACCCGAGAACAACGGCCGTTCGCCTTGCACCCTTGGAAACCAACTGACTATCTTTTTTTCTTCAAAAACTAACTAAAGTCTCATTCTCAAACCAACCATCCCACCTTTTTCAATCTCATCCAATCAAAACGCGTCATACATCTCCCATTTCTTCATTTCGATAACACAAACAAATTTTTACCTACAATTATAAAATTTCCTAAAACTTATTTACAAACTAATCTTTTTCTACCAATTCTTATAAACTAACAAAAACATATCTTTCTAAAATCTATTCTATTGTCCTAATTACTGCACAAATTTATTTGGAAAACCCGCTTCCATTGTCTAGGATTTCACTTCAGCTTATTCACGTCACTCAAATATATTTTAACAAAGAAAATAATTTATGCATATCTTACGTTTTGTTCAATATAGGTAATCCAAAGATAAAAGACTTTCATTCTTCGAAATGTTTGTTGTTTATTATTCTACTTATCTGAATTATTTTAATTTTTTGAACTTTGAAATATTTTAAGCAAACCAATATTTTTCTCGATTTTACATATCATAACAATATATATATATATATATATATATATATATATATATATATATATATATACATTCTTCGTTTTAATTTTTAAGCCACTAACATTTTTGAAAATGTTCATTAGCTTGGGTGTTAGAACTGGAATGTAGGGTAGGCAACCATACGGTATTTTAGATGGTATTACTGATGTGTTGTATCTCAATGTCAATTGTCTGACCTCATTATTATGAAAATTTTGGTTGTCAGAAAATTGAACCGAAAATGAGTTTATTTAAAATCTCTATTTGATAGGAGTTCTCTTGTAGTATAATTGTAGTATGTAATATGATTTGATTTTATTGGTCCCTGAAAACAAAGTAACTGATGTTTAAACGTTGTCACACATCGAGTTCAGGTAGAAGGGACTAAAACAGTTGAAATCTATACTACAATACTACAAGAGAACTCATAAGTATATGAGACTATATATATATATATATATATATATATATATATATATATATATATATATATATATATATATATATATATATATATATATATATATATGTATATACACTACTCAACAATTGAAGAAGATAATCTTAAAATTCCTAAAATTAACATACAAAACTATTTTTAAAATAATTGCCTGTACTATACTCTATAATGCTATCTTTATTGCCAGTATTTTTTGCATGTGTTTTTTTCTCCCTATTCTTATCGGCTCTTATCTCGTACAAAGAGAAATGTTGTCCCAAACGTGAATATATGATTTGTATAAAAGTGCTTGTATTGGCTTTACCAGTTGTCAATAAGTCAAGAAATCTATTTATCACAAAAACATTATGTCGCAAAGACGTTTAGAACTAGTACAGCTCGAGCAATTAGTTCGTTGGATCCAACAAGGCATAACTCAACAAGAGGTTGCTATGAGGCTAAATGTGTCTCAAAGTGTGATAAGTCGTGCATGGAATCGGTATGTAGCAACTGGATCTGCAACATACAGGCATGGAGGAGGAAGAGAACGATCTACAACTCGTCGGCAAGACCGTTTTGTAGTTCTGACGAAAAGAAGAAACCCAACATTTACGGCTTCCAGAATTAACAGTATCTTCAGGCATGCTACTGGACGAGCTATTTCCAGTCAAACTGTCAGAAGACGGTTACATGCCTCCAATTTAAGGGCTAGACGGCGCGCTACCCATCCACGACTAACTAGGGAGCAGCGTGCATGCAGATATACAGATTATAGATATACAGATTGTATACAAATGATGGCCGAATGTTGGTGTGGAGGGAAAGAGGACAGCGTTACAATGAAAATCTGAGAGTCCTAACCACTCTTTTTGGAGGTGGATCGGTTTGCGTGTGGGGAGGCATATGTTTTGACGGTCGCACGGACTTAGTCGTCTTAATTAATGAGACAATGACTGCTACACGATATCGAGACAGAGTCATAGTACCAATAGTTGTTCCATTTTTTGGTGCAATAGGCGAACAATTTGTTCTGATTGATGATAATGCTCGCCCTCACCATGCGAGAATTGTCAACGAGTGTATAGAAGCTCATGGCACTACAAGAATGGAGTGGCCACCATGTTCACCTGATATGAATTGCATTGAACATGTTTGGGCCGAAATGTCTAGGCAACAAAACAGGCTCCTTCAACCGCCCCAAACCTTAGATCAGTTGGCCAATACATTACGCGCGATTTGGGAACGTATACCGCAGCAGTTCATCAATAATTTAATAAGAGGTCTTCCAAATAGAGTTAGAGCACTAAGGCGACACAGAGGTGGACCCACACACTATTAATTTTTCTTTCGGGATATTAGAAATTGAGCAGGAATAGAAATTTTAGGTTGTTAATTTTACAATTTTTGTTTATTTTCTATTATTTTTTTTTTCTTAAAGAATTTCTTTCTTTCGGTTCATCTGTATGAAAATACGAATTACAAATAAATCTTTATTTATATCACTCCATTTTTCTATTTGACCTTACATTAGATGTCCCGTGAAATTTCTATTGAACTATAACGCTCTAAAGCGAGGCAAATTTGGTTATAACGAGAGAAAATAAGACCGAAAAAGGCGTTTATTACGTTTTTGACCGGGCTGTGGTTATAAATAAATACCCTTTTTAACTGCCCCGCAATCCCTCCCGGACTGTATTTTTTACCTCGACGATTGGTGGAAGGGCCGAGTAACTGGCCTTGGTCCCTTATATTGTAAGGGGAGCACGGTCAGTGAAACCAAGAACAGTCCAGCGTCCAGAGCCGTTGCACCGGGTGGTCGCCGGACTTCGCCTCCGGACGCTAAGAGGCGCTGCAATGACGCCCAGTTGCGACCCTTCCTCCCCAGACCCAAATGTACTACTCCTTTTCCCCCACATTCCACAGGAGAAAACCTGGCCAAAAATCCGACGGAGTAAACCAGCGGGAAAAAATCCGAAATCTAAGGTGTTAGATACCGTGCTGAAGGATGGATGACCACACGATACGTGGCCATGAACGGTTCCCTCGGGGCACCTGGCGAACCCCTTTGTAAGCAGCCTTACCATCACATGCGGGGCTCTGTGATGGCGGAAAAACCCATTCCTAGCTACTCGTGGGATCCAAATGATACCGAATTTTTTTACAAAAACCGCGGGCGACCCGAGCGGCAAATCGGGAAGGCATACAGACTACGCCAGGAGGAGAATTAATTCTCTTCCTGACGAAAATATATTAAAAAGAAAAGCATCTTACGACAAGTTAGAGAAAGAAACCTACAAAAAGAAGACATGCAGTGAGGCTGTGGAGCTATTAGATTACCTAGAAGATCTGGGAAAACAATTTAGCAGATTTACAGGACTAATACAGGAGTTCCCAAATACGCCGAGGTCTATTAAGGAACTCTATAGGTATCTGATCAAGAGGCATGCCCTCCAAAAAATGGAGCATTTCAAGAAGTGGTTACAGATAAATTCGACTGAACCTATAGAAAAAATGATGGTAGACACGGACACGCAGGTGGACGCTGATGCCAGTTCAATAGCTCAGAAACCCGCGACTACGGAATGTGGCACCCAGACGGACGCGTGGCATGGCCCTCCCAGGGCAGTCAGGGTGACGAGTCTCGAGGGAGTTAACAATTTTGCTGACTTCCAGAGACACTCTCTCTACGACTGGCCCGAGAAGGTCTTCAAAAAAACGACGATCGAAGTTCTGAACCCGCTGGACTCTAAATGTAATGTAAAGGTCGTAGCCCTGGAACCAAACGACCCCAAAATGATGTTCTCCGTACAGAGAGTGTATCGAGACAGGTACCCAGACTTACCAACCCTCGAACGAGACTTCGAGGTGCTGGAAAATTCTACTACTGTAAGAAGGGAAGGGGAGAGAAGGACTAAAGTAGAGAAAGTCATCAAGCTGTCGGCCAGCCAGCACACCCGAGCAACTCTGGCACGCTCTCGAGCGTGTCAGAGACGAGATAAAACAGGAGGACTCGGTGGCTCTGCACCACGTTAGTTACATGCAGGTGGTTGAACTACGCAAGATGGCTGAAGTGATCTTTACTAACACTAAAGGTACGACGGTACAGATCTACACCACGGCCACGCGGCGAGAGAAGCCTACATATGGATTCATTGTATCCAAAAAAGACTCAACCTACTCACAACTTCTTGAGGGGGTGAAAAAAGCAGTAGGAGACACGCAAGCTAAAGAAGCAATCCGAAGCCTACGTAGCACGAGAGACGGAAATCTGTTAATAACAATAGATAAGGACCAGGGGGCCGCCTCAATGATCAAAAACGCGATAGCGAATAAGGAGAGTGGACTGACAGCTAAACTCGTTGGAACTGAAAAGTAGGCCATTATTCATTTAAGAGGCATGACGGCAAACACGGAGGAGGAGCATATTAAGCTTGCTATTCAAAGAGAAATCGGCAAATGGGAACCAAACTTCGCTATAAAACAGATCCGCCCTATGCGAAACAACACCAAGGCAGCCACGGTCATCCTTACCGCGCTAGCGGCAAGGCAGATACTAGACCTAGGACACCTGAAGGTTGGCCTTGCACGGTGTGAAGTGGAGCGAAGATATGTCGTTAGGAAATGCCAGCGCTGTTGGAGCTACCAGCATGACGTTGCGAGATGTGATGGCCCGGATCGTACCGGGCTCTGCCATAGGTGCGGAAAAGAAGGCCATACTTTTAATACATGTAAGGAAGATGAGCACTGCGTTGTATGTAATGAGCAGCATCGGATAGGTAGCGGCAAGTGCGCGGCCTTCCGTGAGGCTCTACAGAGAGCAAGGATGGCGGAGCAAAATAAAAACATCGAGGCCCCTCCCCCACAGACGCATCAGCCTCCCCCAACAACAGAGGTCACCAGCATGGAAATTGTCCAAGAGGTACCCGACATCAATGAGGTAAACTTGACCGAGATGCCTACGGACCCATCTCCCTCCTCAGAGGAGTTGAGGAGAGTGGATGAGGGGTATTCAATGGGGCTGTCCACTCTACACTTATGGAGCAGTTTAGCTCTCTTTGCGACAGTGCCGCGGGAGATATCGCACGGGTCAAACCCCCAATTCGTTCGCCTACTCCGCCCCCTCCTTCTTCGGACGGGGACCCAACTGCTTCCACTCCTCAGACAATATCCCCTCAGGGTAGCGTCATAGATTTGTGCGGATAGACGTAAGAGACCCCCTCACCATGTGAACTTACTGGCTTGTGGTATAGACTCTAAGAATGGCTTCGAACGGGTTAAAAAAATTAAAGATACTGCAAGTAAACATCGGACGGGCCAAGGTGGTACACGACTTTTGATACATAAGAAAGCCTTGGAGATAAAAGCAGATATCATTATAGTCCCTGAACCAAATAAAAAGATCGTTAAAAAATTTGGTTGGGTTGCCGACACATGGTCAGATGTTGCCGTCTACTTGGTGAATAAGAGTGTGCAAATAAAAAAGGTCACTAAAAAGGAAGGATTTATCAAGATTAATCTGAATGATGTGGCAATAATAGCCTGTTACATTTCTCCAAACATTAACACTACACAATACCAAGATAAGGTAGATAGTATTATTGAGGCGTCACTTGTAGAAAAATACTTCATAATCGCTGGTGATATAAACGCCAAATCCATTCTATGGGGTCCCCAAGAAATGACAATAGGGGGGAATTATGGAACGAATGGATTTCATCGTTCGACTTGGTAGTGTTAAACAACGGTAAACACACCTTCGAAAGAGGAGAATCACGGAGTCACATAGATATTACCCTAGCGTCAAATAATTATGCAAACAAAATTATACATTGGGATGTACTAGATGAGAACATGTTTACTTTTCATAAGTACATCTCATTCGAGATAGGAACAAAGGTCACAACTAGGAACGGCAGAAGAACACTCGCTTTCAATAAAGTAAGATTTGTTGAACAGACTAGAAACTTACACGAAGAAGCTACCGACTTTCCCACCTTTAGAAATGCAATAACACGAGCACACAACTCGAGCAGTAATAACAAATATGTCACATATACTGTACCATACTGGTGGAATGACGAAATACAGCAAAAACGGACAGAATGCCTTAGACTTAGGCGAATCGCGCAGAGGAATAGGACCCAGCAGATAAAGGACGAGTATAAAAGCGCCAAAAATGAGTTAAAAAAGACGATTAAAAGGGCCAAGCGCACATGTTGGAAAAACCTGTGCGAGGCGCTGGAGAACGATGTATGGGGTGAAGCATATAGAATAGTCATCAAAACGCTGAGGTCAGAGACCCCGTACAAACTGTGTGATGATAAAATAAAGAAAATTGCGAATACCCTTTTTCCCTCAAAGCAGAACACATACTTCGTACAAAATAAACATAACTGTTCGAATGGCGTCAGTTTAGCAGAACTCACGATAGCCGCAGAGTCCATCAAAGTGGGTAAATCTCCTGGATTAGACCGTGTGCCACCAGAAGCGATAAAACTATTAACCACATTACAACCAGAAGCGGTTATATAAATCTTCAATCAGCTGCTTACAACACAAGAATTCCCTGACGAACTCAAGCGTGCGCGACTCAAACTAATACTTAAACCCGGTAAAGATCCGGACGAAGCCAGTTCTTATCGGCCAATATGCCTCCTTGACTGTTTAGGGAAACTCTATGAGAATATTGTCAAAAATCGCCTTGAAGAGGAGTTGAGAGAAAAGGACATTATCTCAACTAGACAGTACGGATTTAGAAAAGCAAAATCGGCGGTAGATGCGGTTAAGCATATTACGGACACCGTTAAGACCACAAGAAGAAGATGGGTTTGATAATGTTTGATGTGAAGAACGCCTTTAATTCCGCCAACTGGGCACACATCATACGAAAATTGGAAACTGCAGACGTGTCGGGATATTTAATAAACATTATAAAAAGATACTTAACCGACAGATATGTTTCAGTGGCTAGAAACGCAGAGATTAGATTAACAGCTGGCGTACCGCAAGGATCCGTACTAGGCCCAACACTATGGAATGTACTTTATAATGGGGTACTGGACATCGACTATGGCAAAGATAGCATAGCAATAGCCTACGCCGACGATTTAGCTATCTTAACGATTAGTGACATGTATTGGGAAATCGTAGATACGATAAACGATTGTTTTAACAAGGTAAATAGGTGGATGAAAAATAATGACCTAGAACTCGCAGGCAGCAAGACCGAGGTGGTCATTCTGAAGGCTCCAAGAAACGGACCAGATCTGATCTTTCAACTAGGTAGCAATGAGCTGAGACCAACGAACTGTGCTAAATATTTAGGCATCGATTTGGACAGAGGCCTAAGATTTACGAAACATCTCTCGAGAGTGGTTAAGAAGGCGGACAAACAAACAGCAGCCATCCAGAGAATAACACCTAATATAGGAGGTCCAAGCAGCACCAAGAGAAGACTATATCTACATATTGTACAATCGACCCTCCTATACGGAACCCCCGTCTGGATAGAGGTACTAAGATATCAAAAATATAAAGATATGATAACAAGAGCACAACGCAAACCCCTACTCAAAGTCATAAGTGCGTACAGAACCACTTCTACTATTGCCCTACAGACCATAGCAGGTACGCTCCCCATCCATCTCTTAGCCAGGGAACGGCAGATGGTGTACGAAAACCGGAATGGTCACTTACCTCTGGTAAGGGCGACCATACGAGAGCAGATATTAACAGAATGGCAAACGGAATGGGAGGCACAGACTACGAAAGCTCAATGGACAAAAACGCTAATCCCAGATGTGGTTGCGTGGTACAACTGTAAATTCAAGCGGGTAAATTACTATTTTACACAGTTTTTGACAGGACATGGGTCCTTCAAGTCGTACACATTTAAAATAAAGAAAACCAACGATGATATGTACTCTACATGTCATGAGAGAGACGACGCGGAACATTGCATCTTTCGGTGCAATGTTTTCGCCCAAGAACAAAATAGGCTGCGGAATAGGTTAGGGGATATAAGGCCCGATAACATTATACATATAGCGTTGCTTAGTAAACAAAACTTTGAATTTATAATAGACCAGATTACGCAAATTATGAAACGAAAGACCATCCTGGAAAGAGCCGAACAAGATGGGTGAGGAGGGTCTCCTCTCGCACCATATAAGGGACCACTTAGAACTTTTTTCTCCCTTCTAAGTCATACGCGATACGTACGTGGATACCGTCGAATCAGCATAGCAGACGTAACATAGGTAATAAATACAAGCCCAAATGTACTTATATCCTTAGTTATTCTCTACTATGCCGAATAAACCTTGATCAGGATGTTAGAAGTCCTCTGAACTCTTTAAGAACCATACTCATCTTCTTCTCTATCCAATTGTTCCATACACATACAGGCTCCTTTCATATCTCATAGTCTCATAGTCAATCATGAGCTTCAAAGGACGTATACTGCCCTTCGCAATAATTACTAGTCCTTAAACTATTGTTCGAATCAGGAACCAGACCTTCCCCTATGTGCTTGCCGCTCCTAGGCAAGCAGCATAGGATAACCTAAGACAATTATCTAAGAACTATTTTTCAGGCAGCGCAGGGTATCCCCATGTTTCGTTCTCTAATGAACTCGTCCGGGGATATCACGCGTCGAAGAGATGGTGGTTTTAGTTGGTAGGCGACTAGTCAGGGGGGCATGCGGGACATATATTCCATACTCTGGACTTTATGCCCTAGCATGTTTTCCTCTCTGGATCGAATCCAACAGTACTAGGGACACCTTCCCTAGTCGGTTTTGAACCTTTCCACCTCAATCCAAAAAAAAAACTGCCCCGCAATAAACTTAACTGCCACCCTCAATAAACTTCTTTACAATAAATACAACTGGTTCACATTTTTAGAAAATATGATAGATATAATGATACTGGACAATTTAAATCAGTCAAATATTACAGACTTCTTAAAATTGCAGAAGCAATAGTTTCTAATATCCTTTAAAATACGCTTTATACATTATGTAGTTGG